CGTGATGTTCGGTTCACCTCCCATTTCTGGCAGAAGTTCCACGAGGAACTGGGCACGAGGTTGCATTTAGCACTGCTTATCACCCGCAGACCGACGGCCAGAGTGAGAGCGGATGATATAGACCCTTGAGGATATGTTGTGGGCCTGTGTTATCGATTTTGGTGGGAGTTGGGATTCTACCTACCTCTTGCGGAGTTCTCCTACAACAACAGTTACCACTCCAGCATTGGTTCTCTGTCAGTTGATTGTATGGGTGGAGTTTGTTGGGGAGAGGTTGGTCACATGGTTATGGGAAGGACCGAAGTAGTACTTCAGAACACAGAGCTTATCCAACAGATCAGACAGAGATTGCAGACAGCTCAGAGTCGGCAGAAAAGCTATGCCGACCGGTGCCGATCCGAGTTGGAGTTTCAGGTCGGTGATATGGTATTAGTGAAGGTCTCATCTTGGAAAACTGTGATACGCTTCAGGAAGAGGGGGAAGTTGGGTCCCCAATATATTGGTCCTTTTTGGGTGATTGACAGGGTTGGACGATGATGTGGTGGTTTCCTTGGACGATGATACGCTTCAAAACACTTTCCATGTTTCGCAGTTGGGAAAGTGTGTATTGGATGATGATGTGGTGGTTTCCTTGGACGATATTCAGATTGATGAGCGCATTAACTATGTTGAGAGGCCGATAGCTATTCTAGAAAAGAATATGAAGGTCCTTCGCAACAAGGAGATACCTTTTGTAAAGGTACAGTGGCAACATCAGAGAGGCTCCAAGTGGACCTAGGAGCTAGAGGCTAAGATGCGGGAGCACTACCCGGAGTTGTTCGCAGCAGTTGACTTCGAGGACGAAGTCTGATTCAAGTGGGGGAGAATTGTAACACCCGGATCAGGTATGTATTATCTTTAATAGTGTGAAGTTAAAAGTTTCTGTAATTGCCCTGCTCACGACGTGAAGATTGCCTTTTCACGTCGTGAGGATTGATCCAGACGCGTGCATCATTTAAAGGTCCACGACATGAGCACTATAGTGCTCATGGCGTGAAGGCGGCTGGCGACCAAAAACCTTAAGTTTTCGGTATTTAAGGGAATGAGAGGGCTAGGGTTTCTCACCCTCAGCCTCTATCACTCTCTAAGCCTCCGGAAACCCTAATATTATCTCTATTTAAGATCCTTTGTCATTTGGGTGCATTTCTAGCTTGTGGGAAGAAGAAAAGAAGAAGAAGGAAGTGCTTTAGTATTGGTGTGGGCAAAGAATCAGCATCATCATCATCTTTTCCTGCTTTTGGACCCTTGTAAGTATCAAAGGCTCCAACTTTATTGCTTATCATGGATAGATCATGATTTTTGTCCATTTTATTGATGTTATTACATGATTGAGTGGAGTAGATCCATAAAGTCGGCAAATTTATGGATTCTAAGAGTCCCAAGAATATTATAGTGTTCAGATCTGGAATTTGGTTTAGATTTGAGGCATGCATACAACTTTAAGGCTCATTTCTTCCCTTTTTGACCTATAAAATGGATGATCATGTTTGGTGTATGCATGGCCATAAAGGAAACATTTTTATGGACCTTAAGGGTCCCCTTTAGCTTCTGGATGAAGTGGAATCGAAGACTTAATGGAATAAGGACTTAAAATGGTGACCCTTAGCCACAGACAGCGATCAGGGCATGAGGAGTAAGATCCCACGACATGATAATCGGAGCATTCCCGTTTCTGCTAGAACCCTTGAGGCTCACGACGTGAGAATGGGTGCTCACGTCGTGATGCCAGCTCAGGTGGGTTATTTGACTAGGTTGATCAGTTCGGGTCAAGTCGAGTGGGAATCGGATCGGGTTCGTTGTCACGACGTGAACAATGCCTGGCCACGACGTGAGGAGGGTTGACTTTGACCAAGTTTGACCTCTTGGGTATTTTGGAATTTTTGACTGAGATTTGTCATTTGGTTGAAATAAGAGGCAGTTAGAGCTGGGATTCGGAGCCGAGACTTCATCAGTTTTTGTCTAGTTTGCGAGGTGAGTTTTCCTCACTGTACTTACGGGTCAAAGGCACCAAGGTCGGCTCATTGGTTGATAATTCACTGATATGCTAAGTATGGGATAGATATGCATGTTTATGCTAGTTATTGATATGCTAGTCTGGTATATCTGTAGGACTACCTGTGATTCTGTTGCATGATTATCTGTATATGTATATTAGCTGGTATATGTCGACATATTGTGTTGGATTGAGGTTGTACTGCTCCATGCGGTAGCTAGGGATGAAAGTGGGTCCAAACCCGGTCGACCCGGAAAACCCGGAACCGTTTAACGATATTTTTTAGAACCGGAAACCAGACCGTTTTATAGGAACCGGTTCCGGTTCGGTTCCAGGTTCGATTCCGGGTAAAGTGGGTCTAGAACAGAAAAACCCGAAAATAGGAAAGTGGGTAAGGTAGAACCGGGTCAAATGAGTTTAGAACCGGAAAACCCAGATTTTTTTTTGTAATTACCTCAATCGCATAATCTTTCAACCGTTATAAAAAAAATTAACAAACAAAAAATTACATTTAGGTTATTAGGTTATTGACGACATTGATTTTTTTTTAAAAAAGTAACTAGATATAACAAAGTTGGTTTAAAAAAATTACATTTTGGTCACTGTGAAATATGAGTTTTGGAGAAGGTACTGTACGTAATATTTGATAGTTGATACTATTAATTTTTTTTTTTAAGAAACTATGTATTTGACTATTGGATAATTTATTTTGGGTTGTGTGTTTTAATTTAAGATATGTGGAAATTCTAAATTGTTAATTAATTATTTATTTCCAACCACACTAACTTGTCTTTTTGTATTTTTGACCTTGAAGGCTTCAACTTTGAAAATATGAACATAAAAGCAATAGACAATTTTTTTGACATTAGCAATCTTTTAATTTTCATGTTTTGTCAACATCTCACAACTTCTCATTATAAATATGCCCTTCCACCTCTACATTTGCACTTAACTTATTATTCTCTAAGTTGAAGGTTTTAAGTTGTTTTTTCTTTTCAAGAGCATTCATGGAAGCTAACCGCCCAATTCAAGTATGTTTCTACAGTAAGCACGTTTCCTATACCCGGTTCCACATTAAACCTAATCCGGTTCTTTGGCCCACTAAACCCGGACCCGGTCCATTAAACCCGGTTCCGGTTTTTTAAACAAAACCGGTTCAAAAACCCGGATTAACCGGACCCGTTAGACCCATACCCGAAATACCCGGAACCCGGATAAGAGTAATTTTGAAACCCAATACCCGGACCGTTTAAGTATTTTCCGGTTATACCGGTTCCGGTTCCGATCCGGTTTTCCGGTTCTAAATCTCATCCCTAGCGGTAGCCAACAAACCCTGGAGCATTCCAAATATGAGCTGAGGGTTGGGTAGGGTATGTCAGACTCATACTGAGGGCTCATGAGCATTCCAGATACGAGCTGAGGACCCGGCGGTATGCCAGACTCGTACTGAGGGCTTGATGGTATTCAGTCCGAGAACTGATCTGGTCGGTGAGCAAGCCAGACCTAAGTTGTGGGCCCCGAGGGCAAGCCAAACTTATGATGTGGGCTCAGTGGTGATTCAGTCTTTTAGTTGTGGACCCATCGCATGACGTTATTGTTTAGATGTTATTTGGTTATGTGTTGGTATTTTGGGAGAACTTACTAAGCGTTGTTACAGTTTTGGGTTATGTTTCAGGTACTTCAAATGACTGAGGAAAGACGAAGGCATGACCATGCACATCCTCATGTTTTGGACTTGTGATTTTGGGAACTCTGATGTTGAAATGCTTTTCAAAACTATGTTTGTAAACAATTTGAGAATTTGGTTGGTTTAAAAAGTTTAAATTTATCATGATTTTTATTAGGGGTGAGTATGGTGCGGTTTGGTGCGGTTTTTGCCTAAAACCGAACCGAAAACTGCAACTTCGGTTTTTTGAAGTTTAGAAACCGCACCGTCGGTCTTAGGGTTCTTTTTGCGGTTTTTTTTTTTTTTTTTTTTTTGCGATTTTTGCGGTTCGGTTTTTTTTGCGGTTTTTTGTCAGTTTTTCTTTTTATTATTATTTTTTGTTTTTGTTTTGCCTTTTGGTTTTTTGCGTTTCAGTTTTTATGATACCACCACCTCTTGGTTGAAATCAAATGAATAACCATAACCATCATCCAACATGTTTCTAATTCTTGAATATAATACGAATTAAATATGATATTTGTTTCACATTTACATGAGATAATATCAATTAATGTATTCATAAAAATTATACTATCATCGATAATACTCTTCATATTTAAATATTAAAAAATGTCGTAAACATTATTTGTTCTTATAAATATCACTAAATGTATGTTTAAAAATATACAATCATCCTCTCATAAGATAAATATTTATATTTATAGAAATTTTAATTGTCACGAGTTCTTCGTTCTTACAAATATCAACACATTAATTATATATATATATATATATATATATATATATATATACACACACACACACACACACACACACACACACACACATATGCGGTGCGGTTAGGTTTTTTGCGGTTTTTGCAAGACTAGAAACCGCACCGCACCAAACATTTTCGATTTTTGCAAAACTAAAAACCGCACCATCGGTTTTTATTTCGGTTTCGGTTTTTCGATTTCGGTTTATACGGTTTTTTCGGTTTGCAGTTCGGTTTTTGCTCACCCCTAATTTTTATGAGTGTTACAATTAAATATGATAAATATTATATAAATTATAAAAATATAATCTATAATTTATATACTATATTCATTACTTTTGAAATATGTATGTAATTTCGTTAACGTAAAAAGTGATCATAAACAAAAGTAAATTGTATTTGATATGAGTGGCACGTTTGACAACTTTCTTCCATGAATGATTAGCAAGAAACTAAGAAGAGAAGATTGACACTTAGTTAGTTTGTTTGCTATTAAAGAAAGCATCCCTTTAGGGCGCCATTTTCGCATCTCTCTCTCTCTTCTCTCTCTCTCTCTCTCTCTCTCTCTCTCTCTCATGGCCTCAATTGGGTCGACAATCTCCATTGGAGCTGTGCATGAACAAACCATCAAAGAAGCTCAAGTCTTTTCCACCACCACCGCTACCACCCACCATCATGGCAAACAACTAGATGCTGGTGCCCTATTTGTTCTTAAATCCAAAGGTACGCCATCATTCAGTACTAATTACCTTATTGATATTGAATCCATCTTTTAACTGATAGTAATATCTTAAAGTTCATGTTTACAATCGTCTTCTTCTTGTCGTGACTCATGATCTTTCTAACTGATCACCACCCTCAGAAAAGGGACTTAATTTGCTCTTTCGGTCTTTTATATTACTAATATTAATCTTAGGGGTTGTTAGCCAAACAGCATATTATCTCTGACCCTCTTCAAAACCAAAATATTTTTTCAAGTAAACCACAAAGTCCTTTTTCGTTTTGGAAAAAATATGAATTTGCCCTGATCATATCAAAGAAACTTATTTTATCTTTTTTTTTTAATTTATGAAATATCCTGATGAGTGAGTCACTTTCTCCAAGATTCAGGACTATACACGTCACTATGTATCTATTCGATTTTAATGCGTCACGTGTAAGAAGTAGAATAATTTTCATTAGTAAAATTTAAATTTATGAGTAGAATCTATGTATGAGTCCATGTTAGTTAACAAAGTCATATGACATGGCATATGATCGTATTAGGTATAATAAAAGTATTTTATTATAGAAGGTATTAGGGTAATGACTATAATGTTTTTAATGATGAGTATTTAATAAAAATAATGATATTGTAAGACATTTGTGATCATTTTATATGAATAAAAAGATAATTAAAAAGAAAAGTAGAAGCTTTCAAAATATATATTTAACATGACAAAAGACAAACACATGATAATTAAAAATCGAATTACATTGAGATGGATCATAAGCCGACAATAAGTTGAACCGTTAATTCTTTCTGGATTAGAGACTTAATTAATTTAAAAGCTATGTCCATAAGTCTTTTAGAAAATTACGATTACAAACATATCATTTCAGATTTTTTTTAAGTAAATGGGACAAATTTATCATTTTTATAATGTAATGGGTTACTTGTGGTCTATATATAAAAGGGTAAGTTTATCATCTAAAATTGTTAAAATAAAGTGTATATATATAATATATAGCTATATATATATATATATATATATCTATATATATATATATATATATATATATATATAATATATATATATAACCAAAGTATGTCGTATGTTTTAAAATTTTGCCTAAACCCATCACGATTTTGTTCAACTTAATGTTAGGGAACTAATAATATCTTCTCTTGTTTTGGCTTTGGATTTACACCCTAACTCACAATAAAAAGATTGATAAGTTTTTGAAACACCTTACCTAATTGTTTGTTACAAACAACTTATTGTTTTGACCAAAATAGAACATTATTTTTTATAAAGAAAAAAAAAACAAATAAAACTATATCTCTTTATCTACATTGCCACAATACACAATATTTCTTCATATTATTAATAACAAAAGAAATATTTGTTTGTAATAAAAGTCATATACGATAATTCAATTTACATTATTATGGATCAACTTCTCCAAATCCTTAAATTCGTCGCCTCACTATTTTGGTTTTCTAATCAAATAATTTCTTATCAGAACTATACCAACATATATGCATATAAATATGTTTTTACATGCACAAATCATTTAACAATAATGTGATACATGTCAGGGTCATGGTGGCACAGTGGTTTTCATTTGACAACATCAATAGTAGCACCACCATTGTTGAGTCTTCCGTTTGCGTTTGCATCACTTGGATGGATTGCCGGAGTGTTATCTTTAGGTTGGAGCAATTGTGACATTTTATTCATATAATCTCATTCTCTTGTCCTTGAACACCATGTTGAGTTGGGTAATCGTCACCTCCGGTTTCGTGACATGGCATATGATATAGGTAACGTCTTTCTTTTATTTTTAGAATTACATAACTTAAATAAGAATTTCATAATATGATTTTGAGTATTTACAAGGGAAATCTTTGATATTATTTGAAATGCATCAATTAATTGATAATAAAAGTATATGTCGTTGTTAATCGGATTCTCTTCTCATGTTGAAATAATTTATATCATTAATATACTATATACTAAAGAGTGACCAAAAATAGAACCGTAATGCCTTTTCCTTGTTATATTAAGTGATGTATATAATTTGGAAAGAAGAAAGAAAAAAATAGCATTTCGTCTATATTTTAGTGGTCAAATTTTGAGCCTATTAAAAGAAGGTGGACCCATGAAGACAGTTCTTCTTTATCTTATCATTATTCTTACGTTCTAAAATTTATCCCTAATTATTTAATATTTTTTTGTGGTTATTAACGAATATTAAAAAAAATAGTTACTAATTAATATTAAAAACCATATTGATTTTTATTCTTTAGTATTCGAAAATCTATCCTACAATTATTAAATACTTTTTGTTATTAATGAATATTAAAAAAGAATTGATAGAGTTGATTTTGGTTATATGGAAATTTTGATTTACATATTTTCAGTTGATCCATTTAGGCTATATATATTTTTATTGAGTCAAACTGGTTTTATGATTTAGAAGACTCCGTTTTATTCTCTCATGAGAAATGACACATCCTCTTTGACATCTGGTCGACGTTTGCTAATTAAAAAAACAATAATGCATTTTACAAGTTTATCACGATTGATCCAATTAGCACATTTAAACCTTGCAAAGCCCATTAATAATTTAATATGGACTTTAAAAAATACTATTATATTTTACAAGTTTATCACAACTGATCCAATTAGCACATTTAAACCCTGCAGAGCCCATTAATATGGACTTTAAATATCATTAAAAAAAATTAAAAAGAAAGGAAATTTTAAGTTGGGTTTCTACAATAAAAGAATATCACGTTAGGTGTTATGTTGTTTGGACACTTCTTTCTTATACATATATCAAGTAAAACTTCCTATGTTAGGTTTTAAAGAAAAAAGTGTTTTATATACATATAAATAATTATTCTCCGCGTGTGTATA